GTTCTGACTCATAGTGACCTGTATAGAGTTTCCCAAGGTTGTAAATCTTTATGGAAGCAGAAAGCCTCATCTTTCTCCCATAATTATTCTCTGGCCTTTTAAATATTAGTTATTCTTATTCGTTTTTAATGTACCCCAAAATTAATAACCAGTAAATGTGAAGCTGTTAGGAGACTGCTTTGTTGCCACATATAACAAGATACCTGAAATGTACAATCTGTTTATTTCTTCAGCTGTTAAATATTCTCACTTTCTGCATATAAACGTCTTCATGCTACCTTGAACAGGGAAGGCAGGGTAGAGCACACAAGGCCCACACCTGGCCTTTATAAAATCATTAGTGAATGCATCGTACCTTCATCAATATCAGGAGGAAGGCCTCCAACAAACACCTTTCTAGAGTAGCGTTCCACCCGTTCCCCATTCTGACAGCGAGTGGGAGAACTTAGGCCAGATGACAAGGACTGGTCGCCATGGCTGTCGTCCAGGAAGGCATCTTCAAAGGGAAAGAGAGAAGACCGACCTGAAACAGATGTGGGAGTTTCTACAGTTAAAATGATTTTTCTGGACAACAGATGCTTGATTAGGAGCCCAAAGTTCAGAGTGAAGCACGAAAAAATTATGTCCTAAAACTGTGACTTCCCAGTTGAATAAGTAACTAGCGATTTCCAGATCCAAACAAGTTTATACTGTTTTTGTGGAGATGACTGGCTCAATGTCTCAAGAAGTAGCATCCCAAAATTGCAGGTGTTTTCCTTACTAAAAGATCCCCACTAAAAGATTATCATTACCACTGCTGCTAAGAGTATTCAGGAGTTACTTTTCCTTAGCCCAGTAGGTCTTCACAATAAATGCAATAATCATCACTATTCACAGATTGTAATCTGCTCTTCATGATGACATCAGAGGTTCAGTTCTGAACACTGGCCCTAGTAACCAAGGTAATTTTAAACTCATGACAGGTGCTGACAAACCCTGCTGATAGCGGGACTAAAGATGATTAAGTGTTCCCTGCCACCCAAAGCTACTCCAGTTTGGAAATGTTATTGTTGTTAAGTGCCATCATCGGGTCAGTTTCGGTTCATAGAGACTCTGTATAGGATTTCCAAGGGACAGCTAGAAGGTTTGAACCACCGACCTTGGGGTGCTTAGCCTACAATGCTATATCAGGACTCCCAATTTAGAAATAGGCATCTACAATTATCAAAGGGAAGAGAGAGTAACTATAAAAACACATACATTCAGATGTGGGAGTACATACCTAAACAAGGTCATGATGTCTTTATCCCAATAATCCTGGCTTCAGTACATGAATGACCCACTTAAACACGGGCTGTATGGACAACTTTTACTTGACCTTTCGTTTGTTGTTGTTAATTACTTTCTAATTAGCTCCTACTGTTAGTGATCATGTATACAATTTCCCAGGAGTGGCTGGTGGGTTTGAACCACCAACTGTAGTTAGCAGTGCAGTGCTTATCCTACAGCATTACACCAGGACTTCACTTACTCTTTCATGTTATACCAATTGGCCCTGACTTTACAAGGACTGGATTGAACTAAGCACTGTTGCTGCGGTTGCTAAGTGCCCTTGAGTTGGCTCCAACTGACTCATAGCCTGTACAGGGTTTCTGAAGAGTGGCTGGTGGGTCTGAACCATCCACCTTGCTGTTAGCAGTCCTTGCAGTCAGTAGCTGATCCTACAGCACCACACCAGGACTCCAAATGAGCAACAAATTCACAATCACCATCACTTGCTGCATGTGTGTGTAGCTTTTACATTATTGAAAAGACTTTGGACTTTTTCTTGCACTAAACTCACCTATCAAGTAGATCCAGTAGATTCTGACTCACAGCAACTACCTATAGGGTTCCCAAGACTGTCAATCTTTATAGGAGCAGGCATGCCCAGCTTTCTCCTGTGAGCTGCTGCTGGATTTGAACTACTGACCTTTCGGTTAGCAGCCCAACCCCTAACCCACGCTGACACCAAGGCTCATTTTCTTGCACTAAAGCAAAGCTAAATAAGAACAGTATGCAGCTATTCCTCAACTCACCTACAAAGACAGCTAGGAATGGATCTCGTTCATAACCCAGGGACTGCCTATAGTTCTATCAGTCAAGTGGAAAGAAAATTTATGAAAAGATAATAGAAATACTGTTAATTCTATAGAACAAAAGCGCCTGCTCATTCAGTATGACAATAAGAAAGTCACCAGCAGTTAAAGGTTGTTAATAAATATAACACACAACAAAGACATCTGGCATTACAAAATAAAATCTAAATTTAAAAACAAATATATTTCCTGTTTGAGTCAAAGAGTTCCTGGTAAAACTTTCCACTAGCTTACGCTCTAAAAATGAACTATCCTCAACACTGTAACTTTTAGGGGAAAAAAAGAAAAAGTCCCCTCTAAAATAAATTCATGGAATCCTAGTGTGGTTCTGTCGGGTAAGCACTGAACTGCTAATCGTAAGGTCAGCACTGCTATGAGTAAAAACCAACTTGACAACACTTAACAATAACAACAAAATAAATTCATATGCTGTCTATATAAAAAAAGTGCTTTTCCCATTTAGTCTATCCTGTCTGTCTATATAGCTCTGAAATCTAGCTTATGCGTCACAACAGCCAACTCTTGAAAACAAAATAAAAATAGCCATAGAAAAATAGGGAACATTTCTTTTAAAAAAAAAAAAGGTTACGAGTATAACTGTTTATTTTATGAAAAAACCCAGGTGGTAAAGAAAGGCTGTTTTGATGTTGGAAGTTAATAAATAAAAGAACCGAAGAATTTTTTGTTCAGCCCTCCTCAGCTCATTTGTCACCTCATGCCACCTATCTGTTTTAGCCTAGCAGGAATAAACAACAGACAGCAGATTCTCATCTCTTCATGTCTGTTTTGATCATTGGTGGTAAAAGAAAAAGCTGTGCAGCAGCTAGAGGCAAAATGAGTTTTCTAAAGCCATCCAGAGAGACATTCTCTCATAGACACAAGGTCTGCTTTGCACTCAGTAAATTATGTGCCTTCTGTGTGTCAGGCACATGCCCAAATGAGCATTTTCTACAAAGTGTTCTTATTCCCTCTCTTACCTTCAACCCTAGTAATAAGATATTCTCAGAAAACAAAATTCCAGAGTTTTACAATCCACATTAGAATGTAAAAGGTGCTGAAAAATCTTGTAGTAAAGAAATATTGCCTTAATCCGGCACTTGTTGTTGTGATGTGCCGTGGAGTCGGTTCCGACTCACAGCAACCCTGTACAGGATTTCCAAGGCTGTAAATCTTTACGGGAGCAGAACGCCTCATCTTTCTCCCGCGGAACAGCTGGTAGTTTCAAACTGCTGACCTTGCGGCTCGCAGCCCGATTTGTAACTACAATAATCCAGCACTGTTGTTGTTGTTGTTAAGTGCCATCGAGTCGGTTCCGACCCATAGCGACCCTGTACAGGGCTTCCGAGGGTGTAAATCTTTACGGGAGTAGAAAGCCTCATCTTTCTCCCGCGGAGCGGCTGGTAGTTTCGAACTGCTGACCTTAAGGTTCACAGCCCGATTCGTAACCACTACGCACTACCCAGACTTAAATTTTGGTGCAGTTCTGTATGATAAGCACTAGACTGCTAACTGCAAGGACAACAGTTCAAACCAACCAGCTACTCCTCGGAAACCCTATACAGGGTTGCTGTGAGTCGGAACCGACTGAAATACACACCACAAGATAAAAGAACCCTTTAACATGCATAATTCATTGGAAAACACTAGAGGAAATACTTCTCCAGATTCCAGAAAACCAAACAAACATTTCCCTGCCAAAGTAATCATAATCTGATGGGAGAATAGGCACGTACACAAATTAAAAAAAAAAAAAAAAAAAGGATTAAGTGCTAAGAGAAGACTTTATCAAATGACACAAAAGCACATTTTACTGACCTGGAGATGGGAGAAAAAAGACCATGAAAGTGACTTTATAAAAGGGTAATTTTGAGCAAAATCTGAAGATGGGAGTTTCTGAGGCAAGAACAAAAACACACAGAAAAAGTACTTTCAAAAGAACTCTTGATCTTTCCCTGCAAATTGGCTTCTCCTCCAGAATGGCCTGTTGGTCATTTTTAAGTACTGTCAAGTCGGTCTCAACTCACAGTCACCCTGTATACGGTTACTGAGGAGCAGCTGGTGTGCTTGAACCAACGATCTTGTGGTTCAAACCAACCTTGCGGTCCAGCTCATTAATCCACAGTGCCACACTAGGACTCCAGTATTCCCTGTAATGTTAGTAAAAATTACTATTATCCACACTGCAATTCATCCTTGGTATCTCTGCTTCTCATATTCCAGGGCTAATCCATTTGTTACTAAATCCCAACAATTTAAAGTCAGACTACCATCCTCCCTCATTTGGACTAATAGTCTATAAATCTACTCACAACAGCCTGTCTAGTTTACTGACTTTTACCCACCATGCTTCTACACAAAGCAGCCAAAATTTACATCTGTGAGCATTAATCTGATCATGTAACTACATCCCATACCCCTATCACTAAAACTGCTCAATGACTTCTCATTATTTTTTCAATTAAATACAAAACATCACTATGAACTGTAAGGTCTTTGTCAAATCCAAGGGGATTGGATGTTGTGGTTGTCGTCAAGTGCTATCAAGGCAGTAAGTCATATTGTTGTTATTAAGTGCCATGGAGTCAGTTCCGAGGAATGGCTGGATGCTGGTTGACTTGAACTGCCCAACCTTTTAGCAGTCCAATGCTTACACCAGGAATAATAATGCTAATAAGGTATGAGTGTGGACCATACAAATAAGACACATGAAATCCTAACAAGGGTGTTGACCAGTTTGTCATGCTGTTGTTGTTATTGTTAAGTACCGTGGAGTCGGTTCCAACTCATAGCAACCCTGCACAGGGTTTCCGAGGCTGTAAATCTTTACAGGAGCAGAACGCCTCATCTTTCTCTAGCGGAACCGCTGGTAGTTTCGAACTGCTGACCTTGAGGTTAGCAGCCTGATTCGTAACCACTACACTACCAGAGCTCCTTTTGCCATTCTACTAGACTTAAAATGAACCATCCCAGAGGTGAGCAGAGGGCACCTCATGACCACCAAGAAAGAGGAGTAGGCATAGAGTTCATCTTTTGGACATGGGGTCTCTGAGCTGAGACCATGGAAACAGAGAAAGAAGACTCTAACACTGAGGATGGCAAAATAAGGTGAGAAGCAGTGACAGAAGCAGAGGCAACGGAATTGACTGGAGACCAGTAGGAGACAATGCTTCCTAGCCTGTAGAGTGAGAATGTCGAGGGCCTCTAGGCAGGAGGCTTACTGGCAGAGTGGGGGGCTTCTGGGCACTTAATACAGCAAAAAAAAAAAAAAAGCTTTGTACCAGTTGTCTGAGCAAGGCAGAGGACATGGTGCCTCTGGGCCAAGACCCTGAGAAAGCCTTGTTTATGGGCATGACAGAATAAATTGTCCTGAATGAAGAATCGTATCCAGAATCATTTCTGATTCTGA